CGTGGATAACATGCCTAGGAGGGTGCGGGTGGTCATCAAGGCCAAGGGTCGATGGACTAGGTACTAGAAACGTTGTTCGAAAGTTTGCTCTTTGTCCTGGGAAACAACTGTCCGGATGTAGTCTTTGTATATCTTCTGGCATTAAATTAGATTCAGTGTACTATTATGGATTCTAGCATTGTGAACACATCCACTATCTGCCCCTCCCAAAGCATACCACCATTAAATAGTAAGACTTTATGTACAATGATCAGAAAGCCCCAAAACCCTAGCTAATGCAAAACATCCGGACAATTGTTTTCGTCACTGTACGTATCAGCGTGCCCGACCTGTCAGCGCATGAAATCTTCTCGACAGCGGCCAGCTGGACTGCTGCAACCGCTCGAGCCACCCCAGCGACCGTGGCAACACGTGATGATGGACTTCGTCACAGGACTTTTGGCCAATGTCAATGGCAAGACGCCGTCCTCGTCGTCGTCGATCGTCAGACGAAGATGGCGCATTTTGCACCCTGTCGCACGACAATCACAACCGAAGATACCGCAAAGCTTTTCATCTCCACCATTTTTCGTCTGCACGGCCTACCATCGGCGATAATCAGCGGCCGCGACCCCAAGTTTACGTCCAAGTTCTGGCACAAGACATGGGAACAGTACGGCACCCACCTACAATTCTCATCCGCCTACCACCCACAAACCGACGGACAAACTGAACGCACCAATCAGACCATGGAGCAGCTGATACGCACCAACTACCCAGATACTGTCGGGTGGCAAGCATTCCTGCCCATGCTGGAATTTTCCTACAACAACGCCCTATCTGCTACGACTAATCACTCGCTGCTTTTCCTCAACTACGGGATGGATGCCACCATACCGACGACAACCCACATCGACAACTCCGTGTCCCGTTCCCAGCAGTTTGTGACCAACTTACAAACCGGCCGGGGAAAAAGCGGATCGAATTTCTTCAAAAATCCAACACGACAGCCCGACGCTATAGAGACCTTCATCGCCGAGATATCATGATGACCGCTGGGCAACTAGTATCAAAGCTAGAATGAATGAATAGCATGGGAGTATACAGGGGTATATAGCTAATGGGTTGTAATCTCTATTGCATGACCCTATGTAGTCTACTAAACATACACACATATGTTTGACACACCCCCTAGACTAGATAGGGGCAGTGCCTGGTGAGAGACAAGCAGCTCAGGGCGGCACTACTAGTTCTACCTCTGAGGCAGGGGTCTAGAGTCCAGTCAAAAGAGTACAAACAAGGCAAGATCAAGACCAGGGCGGCACTACTAGTCCACCCATTGGGAGAAAGCCACAAGGCGTGTCAGGATAATATATAAAGAGTTATACACAATCAAGGTCCTAGCAAATGAGGTGCTGCAGGCACGAGACTGAGCTGTACGCAGTGCCGCTGATGATCTTTAGGCGCAAGTGCCTTCGTAAAGATATCAACTATGTTGGCACCACAGACCAAGTGTACTATGCGGGCCTGGCGACGTTGCTGTAGCTCACGCAGGAGGAAGTACTGCAGCTGGATGTGCTTCGCTCTGCCCTCGAGTCTAAGCTCCTGACACAGGAGGACCATGGCCCTGTTGTCAGCGTACAGGACCGGGGCAGAGCTAGGCAGCTCACCTAAGTCTGTGAGCAAGAAAGTCAGCCAGCGGAGCTCCTGTCCCACGCAGGGGGTGCACGGCGGTGCTGCCGAGGAGGGGAGCGAAGGGAACAACGTAGTGAGACCTAAGACAAGACCATGCTGAGACATGTGATGGAGACGTGTGAGGGCGGGGCGACCTAGGCGGTGGTGCCACAGAAGCGACGGGTGATTAAGCGACCGACACAAGCAAGCCGCAGCAACCTAGGTAGACGTTGCCACCTGGGGGGGCATCCCAACAGGGGGGAACGCAATGTCCAGCGTGAATAGGCCAGACAACGGGTCCCGGGGGAACGTGGTGAGGGGGGCGCCAGTGGCAGCTTCGGTACAGACAGCGTACCTTCGTGACCACGGAATGTAGTGGTGACGCCGAGGTCCTGAAGCCAGCCGACACCAACTAGGTTCCGTGAGAACGAGGGGATGTGCTGTCCTGTAAGAGAGCCCGAAGGAACCGCTGGACAGGGGAGGGTGGTGGAACTACGGGCGACTACTGGACCTGAGGAAGGGTCTGCAAGAGCAACTGCGGCAGGGACAGCAAGCGACGTCAGCGTAGTGTGGTCCCGAAAGAAACACCGAGATGCGCCAGAGTCGAGAGTGAAGGAGAGCGCGGTAGTGGCGGGTGGGGGCGGAGGAGCTAGAGTGGAGCCAAGGCTAAACAAAGCAAGTGGTCCTACGCCTGACGCAGCAGGGGAGCCGAAACTAGGCACACTGGGCACACCTACACTAGGAAATACGGGGTAATAGGAACCAGTCACACTAGACTCATTGACATACAGCGCATACAATGCAGAGCTAATCTCATCCATGTCCATATCAAAGATCCTAACACTACGGCAGAGCAGACTGTGCCAGTCGGGGAGGTCCGGCGCGGAGCCAAAGCGGAGACAAAACACACTAAGTTGGGCCTCAGTGCAGGCAGTGCGCCAGCTCGCGTCGAGCGTGCGCAGGTGCGTGGCCAGGTGGACAAAAACGCGAGATCAAGGAAGAGCATGGGAAGGATCGGGCGGTTGGCAGAGGCAGAGGACGGAGTGGAATAACGCTCGACAACAGCCTCTAGGAACTCCTGAGCAGTCCTGACCGACTTAAAGTGGGGGCGCTCAGACAGGGAGAGGGCATGGCTAATCACGAGCTGAGCGACAACGTCACGCGACAGCCAGACAGCACGGGCAAGGGCAGCAGTGGCAGCGGACTCACGGTCAGCAGACGTGGGGTCAGCAAGGAGAGCAGCAGGGGGGTCAGGGCAGGGGAGCGTACCATCAATGTGGACGGCAAGGGGTGGCCATCCTGCCGCTGACCAGTGAGGTCACGACGGAGGTCGACGAGCCACGGGTCGAACTCAACCGGCTGACCCTCCGCGTCAAAGCGCAGCATCGAGTCCGTCATTATGGCCGCTGCAGGCGATGAAGGGCGGGACGGAGCGACGAGGAGCAGTGGAGAGCAGTGCTGTATGGTGCAGTGCGGTGGAACGCGGTGCAGTGCAGCGCCGCGCAGTGCAGAGAGGTGCAGTGCGGTGGGGCGCGGTGTAGTGCGATGCCGCGTGGTGCAGAGCGGTGCAATGCGGTGGGGCGCGGTGCAGTGCGGTGCCGTGCGGTACTGAGCGGTGCAGCACAATGGGGCGCTATGCAGGACGGTGGAGAGGGCCGGTTTAGCAAGCGGGGACCGGGAAACACAGCCAAGGGTGGGGGAGGGGGCGGCTGAGCAGCTGGGCGACGGGGCCGCGGGGAGGCTAGGCGACGGGGCCGCAGGGCGGCTAGGCGACAGGGCTGCGGAGCTGCGGGGCGACAAGGCCGCGGGGCGGCTAGGTGACGGAGTGGCTAGGCGACGTGGCGGCTAGGCGTCGGGGCGACTAGGCGACGGAGCGGCTAGGCGACTGGCTGGCGGGGCGGCTAGGCGACGGGGCCGCGGGGTGGTTGGGCGACGGGGCCGAGGAGCAGCGGGGTGACGAGACCGCGAGGCAGCTAGGCGACGGGGCCGCGGGGCAGCTAGGCAATGGGGCAGCTAGGCGATGGGGCGGCTACGCTAGGGGCGACAAGGCTGCGGGGCGGCTACGCTAGGGGTGACGGGGCCGCGTGGCCAGCGGGGCAGCTAGGCGCTCGTAGACGGGGCCGCGGGGCAACGGGCGGCTAGGCGCTAGTTGACGGGGCCGTGGGGCCACGGGCGGCTAGGCGCTAGGTGACGGTGCCGCCGGGCCAGCGGGGCGGCTAGGCGCTAGGGAACGGGGCTGCAGGGGCCAGCAGGCGCAAGAAGACGGGGATAACGGGTCAGCTAGGCGACGGGGCAGTGGGGCCAGCAGGGCGGCTAGGACTGAAGGCGGACCTAACCTACTCATGATACCATATCAATGTTAGAATGAATGACTAGAATGGGAGCATACAGGGGTATATAGTTAATGGGTTGTACTCATATGAGACATACTAGTATCATATGGCCAAAGAGACTTTCTGGATTTTGAGTCATCGCGTCCGCCTCGATACAACAGGACGACACGTGGACTTTATTGTCCTCTAGGCCGGCCGTATAAGCGAAGACGACACGTGGGTCACTTCTAACTTGCTTCATAAACACTCGGTTCTCAAATCATATTTGAGTCGAAAATGTGTTCTCGATATTTACCACCTTCCTTAAGAGGGGGGGTAGTGTAACGAATTTCATTCCTTACCGGGTTGTACTGCAATCGCGTACACCCGAACTCTCGGAAGACCAGGCTCGGTCCGATTCCGACGCTACCCTGAGGCAGGCTCGCGCCGCCTCCGGCCCTTTCAACCGCGCCTGGACCCAGCCAAGCCCTTCGGGCTCGTCGCCTAGCTAGAGTTATCGCTATACAATGCTGGGTTCCCATTCTTGTACTCGTGATTATGATTCCGTGCACTCTCAGTTATTATTCATAACAAATGGCGTGCTCTGTAACGTGCATCCCGCTAGCCTGTACTTTTCGGGATTACATGGCCGAAAGGGGTACCTGTTCCCTCATATGAATTATAAATGAACGCTTAGGAGACCCCTTCAGGTTGAATCATTCCGTTAGGGCGCGGTTTTCTGTAGATCGGTTTAGTGGTAAGATCAGTTTTTAAGCAGGCAACCCTTTATCGTCAAAATTTTGCCAGAAACATACAGCTTTGGATTGGGTGTGAGGTCCATAAGACTCTTCGCTTGATCATTTAGGCGGCAAACCGATCTACGTGACCCACGCCCTTAATTGCCCTCAACACCGACTTTCCTGCCTTGCCATCCACCTGCGTTTCAGCCTAGTCCATTTCCAGGGGCTTCAAGAATAGCACTGGCCTCCCGCCTTGCCAACGTCGGGGTTGGGTTTCAGCCCTGTCGAGCCGAGATCTCGCGATTGAGAGAGCTTCGGTACTCCCATCAGCGATTCCGCATTTCGTTCCCCCATTCGTGCCTAAAGCGCGAAAAAAGATTCCCATCAGAAGTTTTCCGCCATGGCGCCGCCATGGCGTGGATCACGCCGAGCGTGCCTCCTCCCTGGGCGTTCCTCACCCACCAGCCATCAGAACCTCCATCGAAGCGCATCACACCTTCCCCGGCTCCCTCCCTTCGTTGCATCGCCACGCCTTACCACGCATCACTGCTTCTCTCGCTGCGCTGGACAGAGTCTCTCACTCCCCACCCCGACTCGCTATGATTCACGTTCACCGTCGTCGATTTCCTCTCCTGTGGTTCTAAAGTCGCCGCTTACTAGCAACTCGTATCAGGTAGCACTTTGAGTTAACGTTCCCCTTCGTCGAATATAGGCCATGGATCCCACTCGTGGAACGGACGCTGCTGTCGCTGCTCACCGTTCCTTTGATAAACTCCCTGACGATTTACTTGTTCACTTATTTCGGTGCGTCGAACAAGGTTTAATCTCCTCACCGCTGCAACCGCCGATGGCGTCAGCATCATCACCATCGGTTTCTTCTAGCACCTCCTCCTTCTCCTCCTCCTCCTCTTCCTCCTCCCGAGGCACCCTCGCGCTCGTGAGTCGCCAGTGGTTTCGACTCGCGTATGGCACGATCACGTCGCTCGACCTCTCACGCCGGCAGGGAATCTCCGCCTCGCAGTTCGTCAGCACCGTCAGCCTCGCGCCCAATCTCACGTCTCTTCAGGTCGCCCTTTCCGGCACAGACCTTATCACGGACGCCTTCATTGCGCTGATCGCACAAGTGTGTCCCCGCCTCGAGTGCCTATCGCTTTTCGACAACTTGCGCTATGGTGGTGCTGAGCACCACGTGTGGACGTCCGACGGGCTCGACTCGCTCTTCCGGAGGCGCACGCAGCTGAAGGATCTCTCGCTTGCCTGCTCGCCCTCCGTCACCCATCTCCCTGCAAGCATTTCCCAAATGGCTGGGCTCGAGCAGCCCCAGATATTCTCAAGGCTCATTGTCAACCTGCCAGAGGAGATCGGAGGGCTGCAGGCGCTGAAGGCCCTCCACGTGAACGCACCTCGGCTCACAGCTCTGCCCGACAGCCTTAGTGACCTCTCCAATCTTCAGGAGCTGTCGCTCGAAGGCTGCTCGGATCTGACATCGGTACCTGAGGCAATCGGGCAGCTCCTGAAGCTGCGTGCATTTCACGTCAGGGACTGCAGCACGCTTCGCTCCCTCCCTGACGTTGTCTTCAGCTGCACCACCCAGGAGTCTCTGGACCTCGAACTGCCGAACCTGGCCAGGCTGCCGGAGAGTATGAGCCATCTGCAGAGCCTGCAGCGTCTCATTGTGGACAGGGGCTTCAGGGCTCTAAGGCTCCCCACGTCCTTCACGCTGCTGTGTGCCCTCGAGGAGCTGACTTTGGACGTGTGCCTCCAGCAGCTGCCGGAAGGCTTTGAGACTCTCATCAGTCTGCGAAGGCTGGAGCTGAAATGCTCTGAGCTCACTCACCTCCCTTCCTCTCTGCCGCAGCTCTCCCTGCTTGAACACCTTGCGATCGTTGGATGCGATCAGCTGGTGTCTCTGCCAGACACCATAGGGCAGCTGCCAGCACTCAGGGTGCTCCGCCTCGACTGCTTGGAGAATCTCCAGAGCCTTCCCGATTCCATTGGCCAACTGCAGCAGCTGAGGTCGCTGTCAATAATTTGCTGTGATTGGCTCGACGTGCTGCCAGAGTCCCTGGTGCACCTTAGTGCCTTGGAGAGACTCGAGATTCTCTACTGCGTATTGCTCTCCTCCCTACCCAGAGGCATGCACCTCTTGACAAGCCTTCAGTGGCTAAAACTCAGCGATTGCCCAGGGATCTGTGAGCTGCCTAACAGCATCTCCTTCTGCAAAGCCCTTGAGTGCATTTCCATCGAAGCTTGCCACGCTCTCACAACCATTCCTGAAGGAATTCGGCACCGGGTTAGAATGCAGTGCAGCAGTGGATGGTGATGCGATGTCACTGATGGTAGTCTGTAGTGCAGTAGCTGTGAAATGGTACTAGCTGAGGGTGGTGTGGTGGTCACATACAAATCATAGCTATCTCCATTGTTCGATTCTCCTTGCTAGATACACTACCATGCTGCACTCTGCATCAGTGCTAGAAGCTGTACCCTCTAAGGCAAAAACCTATACAGTCTATATAAACATAACAATATGTGTTTGACACACCCCCTAGACAGTATACGAGCAGTTCTTGACGAGAGAACGAGCAGCTCAGGGTGGCACTACTAGTCCTACCTCTGAGGCAAGGGTCTAAGAACCAGTCAAACGAGTACAGACCAAGCCAAAAGCAATACTAGTCCAGCCACTGGAAGAGGCCACAAGGCCAGTCAGGATGAAATATATATAATAGGTCTGTACACAGTCAAGGCCCTGGCAAGCGAGAGGCTACAGGAACAAGACCTAGCTGTACACAGTGCCGCTGATGATCTTTAGGCGCAGGCGCCTTTGTAGCGATATCCGCTGTGTTGGCACCGGAGGCCAAGTGTACTACGCGAGCCTGGCGACGCTGTTGTAGCTCACGCAAGAGGAAGAACCGCAGCTGGATGTGCTTCGCTCTGCCCTTGAGTCGAGGCTCCCAACACAGGAGGATCATGGCCCTGTTGTCAGCGTACAGGACCAAGGCAGAGCTAGGCCGCTCACCTAAGTCAGTGGGCAAGAAGGTCAGCCAGCGGAGCTCCTGTGTTGCCATGGCACCGGCGTAGATCGCGGCCTCACACCTCGATTGGGCAACAGACGAGGAGCGAATAGCTCTCCACGAGACAGCACCTGAACCAAGGCTAAAGCAGTAGCCCTGCGAGGACCTGAGGGTCTCGGCGTCGTCTGCCCACGAAGCGTCTGTGAGCCCAGTAAGGACCAGTGGCCTGCGTCCTCCTAGCACTAACCCTATGCCCGATGTACTTGCAAGATAACGCAAAACCCTCTTAGCGGCAGACTTGTGCTGAGGTCGGTGTCTGCCTGTGGCCACAAAGCGAGCCAATATGCTGAGAGGGTATGCGAGATCTGGACGAGTGCAAGTCATCAGGTACATGAGGCAACCTACCAGCTCTGCGTAAGGGCCACTGGGCTCTACTGATTCCTCAAGAACTGGAGCAGAGAGCCTGTGATCTATAGGTAGTGGGGTGGACTGTGCAGAGGAGAACTGAAGGCCGAACCTCTAAAGGACCTGGCGCACGAAGTGTGATTGGGTGAAGGTGATGGTGCGCGCTGCTTTGTCCCTGGAGATCTGCAAGCCAAGGTAGTGGCGCAATTCTCCAAGGTAAGTGCAAGTGTGTCTCTTCAGCAGCTCTGCCTTCACCGAGGCCAGTGCGTCTCTGTCTGCAGTGGCGAAGACCAGGTCGTCTACGTTAACAAGGATGTAGAACGGAGTCTGGCCAGCATGAACGAAGAGGGAGGGGTCTACAGAGGACGGAAACAAACTGCAGGTCAGCATGGGTACCACGCAGCGTGTCGTGCCACTCACGGGGAGCCTGCCGCAGGCCGTAGACGGGGCGCCGCAGGAGCCACTGGGTCCCAGGAGGGAAGGTACCAGTGAAACCCTGAGGGCTGCGCAGGTAGACCTGCTCGTGTAGACTGCCCTGAAGAAACGCAGTGGAGAAGTCGAGGGAGTGTAGCTCGTAGTCACGCTGAGCTGCTACGTGTAGCAGCACCCGAAGAGCAGTCATCTTCGGGGTCGGAGCGAAGGTCTGAAAGAAGCCGACCCCCTCACGCTAACTGAAACCTCTAGCCACGTAGCGCGCCTTGAACACAGGCGGCTCTTCAGGAGGGCGCTTCACCTTGAAGAGCTAGCGGCCATCGACTACGTTCACCCCATGTGGGGGAACTACGTGGACATATGTGCCGGTGGATCTCCAAGATGCCATCTCCTGCTCCATGGCAGCTATCGACTGAGAGGCCCAAGGTCCCGAGACCGCCTCAGCGTAAGTGCGGGGGGTCGGGATGTCGAAAGCGTTTGGGTCACCCTCAGGGACTAGCAGCATGGAACAGAGATGGGGAGCAGCCGCGGACAGGAAAGCAAGCTCGTACTGGCGGTCCTCCAGGACGTCACTGCTGAGGGCAGGAGCACCCCGACGGAGGATAGGCAGGGTCGGAGACCAGAGCGGTGGCGTAGTCAAGGAGGCGGGTAGAGGCGAAGTCAGCGACCGCAGCGACAAGAGCGTTAAGACGCGAAACCGGAGTAGACGGGTCGGTAACGAGAGAGGCAAGGACCCGAGGAACAAGAGGACGAGCGGTACGGAGGTAGTCACACAGAGGGGGAGGCGCAATGACAAGGGTGGTCGAAGGAGGCGACGGTAGGAGGGGAGGACGAGACACGTGGGAACGGAGCAACATAGGGTGAGAGCGCGAGACAGAAGAGACAGGGCGAGCACGAGAGGGATGGCGAGACCAGACGCGAGATAGAGGCGTCGGGTCAGGAGACAGAGGAGGAGACACAAGAGGGGAACGAGGGGGCAGATGAGCCAGACACGAGTCTGGGGGAGGGAACACAGGGCCGTAGATAGGAAGAGGAGGAGACGGCAGGAGAGGAACAGACACAGGGTCAGGGGACTGCAAACACCGACACCGGCGGTGACTGCGGCTGCGGCGGCACAACACCGACACCGGGGCCGCAAAATGCTCGACGGCTACCTGCGGAACACTCCACTCCTGCACCCCCAGAAGGAACACCCCCAGAGCCCGAAACCCCTCCAGCACTGGTATCACCCCTAGGCTCGCCGGGACAAGCCACAACAGGAACCCTAGGAGTAGCCACCCCTACTCCAGCACCCCCAGAGTCGACAAAACGGCTGCTGCGGCAGCGGCGGCGACAACGGCTGTTGCGGCTGCGACTGCGGCGGCAACGACTGCTGCTGCTGTGGTGACGACGGCTGCTGCGGCGGTGACAACGGCTGCGGAGGCGGCGGAGGAGGAGACACCGGGGGAGGGGCAGGCGACAAAGACTGCGTCGCAGGACTACCAGAGTCAGCATACTCCTCAACCGGGACAACCGACGGGAGGGGGGTGACGTGAGACACACCAGACAGGGCAGGACGGGGAGGGGGAGGGGCAGGTGCGACCAGGGACGGGGGAATTAGGAACAGGGGGGGAGAAACTGGGGGACCACGGTGGGGAAAGCGGTGGTAGAAGGAGACGTACTCGTCAAAGGTGACTTCGCGGGAGTGAAAGAAACGGTGGGACGGCGGGTGGTAGAAGTGCCAGTCAGTCGAGTCAAGGGGGAAACCAAGGAAGACACAGGGGACTGTGTGGGCAGTAAGCTTGTCCATGCCAGAGGCTCGAACGTGAGCAAGGCAGCTCCAGACGTGGAACGCAAACGCGTCACCAGGAGTCCCAGTCCAAAGAAGGGTCGGTGAAACCTGCGGCTGCTGAGGTTGCGGCCACAGGTTAAGCTGGTGAGCGGCGTAGGGAACCGCGAACGGCCACAGAAAATGGGGTGCACCGGTGTGGATCATGGAGGTACGAGCCACCTCCATGACCAAACCGATGCGTCGCGCAGCGACCCCATTCTACTGCGGGGAGTCTTGTAGGGTGAACGTCTGGGTGATGCCCTCCGCACGACAAAAGCGACCAAGGACGCCGGAGGCAAACTCGCTACCACGGTCAGAGTGAAGACGCAAGACAGGGAGGCCGCGGTGGACACGCGCAGAGACAAGCCACGGGATAAGGACGTCAGGCACGTCGGGCTTCCGCTCCAGAGGAAACACCGTGGTGTAGCGCGTATAGTCGTCGACAAGCACGAGGAAGTAGCGTTCTCGACGCGGCCCATGGACGGGGACGGAGCCCCAGACGTCCATGTGCAGGGTTTGTAGCGGTGCGGTGGTGGGGGGGAAAGAGAAGAAGTGAGGGGCACGGCGGAGCCGACCCTTGACGCAGGGCGTGCACGGTGGCGCTGTAGAGGGGGGCAATTCGGGGAAAGACCCTGGGAGACCGAGGACAAGACCGTGCTGTGACATGTGACGCAGATGCGGGAACGCATGGTGACCTAGACGGTGGTGCCACAGTAGTGTCGGGTGAGTGAGTGATCGACATGAGCAGGCCGCAGCAACCTGAGAAGACGCAGCTACCTGGGGGGACGTCCCAACTTGGGGGGGGCGCGGTGTCCAGTGTGAACAGGCCAGACACCAGGTCCCGGGGGAACGTGGTGAGGGGAGCACCAGTGGCGGCCTCGGTACAGACAGCATACCGCTCGTGACCAGAGAACGTAGTGGTGACGCCAAGCTTCTGGAGGCAGCCAACACCAACTAGGTTCCTGGAAAACGAGGGGATCCGACACCTGCACTAGGCAACACGGGGTAGTAAGAACCAGTCACACTAGAGTCATGGGCATACAACACGTACAAGGCAGAGCTAAGCTCATCCATGTCCATATAAAAGATCGGAATTTTTTGGCGAAGCAAGTTGTACCAGTCGTGGAGGTCGGGCGACGGGCCAAAGCGAAGACGAAACAGGTCGTCCAGGCGACGAAAACAGCGGACGGGAGTGTGACTGATCTTACCGCAAACGGAGCCGCGGCGAGGACCGGTCAGGAGCTGGTACTGACAGCGCCCGTCACCCGAACTGCCATCCGGAGGCACACCACGCGCACGGCCACCACCACCTCCACCGCCGCCACCAGCGCCAGGCCACCTGGGCGGGAGACCACCCGCCCTCCTCTGTTGCGGCTGCGGCGACTGCTGCGGCTGCTGGGACTGCTGCTGCTGCTGCGGCTAGGCTGGGGCTAATGCTGCGGCTGATGCTGGTCCAGCTGCGACGCCTGCGGCTGCTCGGACGGCTGCTTGGCTGCACCAGGCACAGTCCCCTCGTCCGCGCCACCACCAGGCGGCCCGACTCCACCACCACCTCCACCTGCACCGCCACCCCCTCCTTCGCGCCCAGCCTTGGGGCGCGACCCTTCCCTGGACGGAACTGCGCTGCAGCTGCAGTCTCAGCCACAGCAGCGGAACCCTCTGAGAAGGTGCACTGAGTAGGGGCACAACCCTGAAAGATAGGGACCGGCACAGTACCGCTGGTCTGGGCGATAGAGCGCTGGCGGGTCTCTATGGCAATCAGGGTGTCAACAAAGTCGGTGAGGGTGAGTTCACCAGGGTGGATGCTAAGAAAGCAGTCGCGGGCAGTGGCAAGGCGGTCAG